TTCAAATGTTCCTTATTAAAAGGGGATTGAGTGACCGAACTGTGAGGCATCGATAAAATCATCTAGCATGGAACCCGTCAATTGATTTTCAATTGCATATTTTCCACACACAGCAGAAATTGCTCTGGAAATCTTCCGTAACACCAGAATCTTTGTTTCAATCATGAATCTTCTAAACCAGTGGTCGCCAAACTTACGGAACTTCTGAGCTACCGTACCGTTTTTAAATCCTAGTGGGCGTTTTCGCAGGATTGACAAAGATTTAAATTTTGGTCAAAGTTCTTAATTCACGTCTTGCCGATAGCTGTTTATTAGATGGAAATTTTTCATTTTCAACATCAAATCTTCGTTTCAGTAAGGTTGCATCAAGTAATGAGGTAGCAACTGGCCACATATTTCTCTCTTAAGGCATATTAATGATAGTGAAACCGCTTTAAATGTAATATTTTCTCTCATCCTGCTCAGCAATCTTCTTTCTTTCTACCAAGTTATAATTATTGCATTGGAGTAGCATCAACGCTAGTTGTTTTGCCGCCCGATACCCCTAAAATGTTTCTTACGGTGCACCTGCATGGTTACCCTTACTCTGGCGTATGCACTGCACTTCTTTAATCAGTTGCTATTTTCTGGCTTCCTAACTTTCATTCATCTTGTGAGCCTAACACTTCCTTTACGAAGCTTAGTAGCCCATACGCTTATAGAATCCATTTCAAACACTTGTCTTTCCAAAATGCCGTTGTCTAGAGAACTCAAGTGGACACTTATCTTTGGTTCAAACCTTGAGCTTCAAATTACACAAATATATGCGACTTGTTCTGCCATTAAAAGATTAAGGTATGACTTCCCTATAGGGCATGTCTCAAAGCTAACTGGAAGTCTTGATAGCGCTGCCATCAAACTTGGAGCTCAGATCTATCTGGTCAATCATCAAACAGGCGTATATAAAATATAACATATATTTTGAAAACTACATAGGAGAAAAGAAGGTGAAAAGGCAGAAACAAAAATGCATGTATTATGTCTAAACATCATAGTATGTATTATGTCATCATCAACAGATGATAGAAATTTGGAGATTGAACTTTCGTATTATATCTGTATTTATAAAAAACAAATTCATTACAGTAGTGCATGTATGTTTTTACCATTAATTTTGATTTATCCTATATTTGAAAAGCAACTCAAAATTCAACTGCTTTGGCTGAAGGTTCGACCAGATATGTGAGCTACTATGCATTTTTACCTCAGCTTGAGTTGCTTGATGTATTAATAGTACGATTTTTGTGTCCAGAATTATCGTGACAATTCCAGATATAGTGTCGAAAATTTTCGATAACACACAGCTTACTGATTATTTAAAAATCTGGAAGATTTCGCTGGATGCCGTACTAAAACGATGGAGCACTTAGAGCCATCATGAGCGACTCTGAGGATTCAGATAACACTGGAATTGCAGTCGCTTTCTTATTTTAGTGAGTTCTTATATACTTGTTCTTGTATACTGGGCATCAGTAAAACTAGTCATTCCAAAATTTTAAGTTAAAATGTTTAACGACTTCTTAGGTTATCATTCAGATAATTCGAATGATGACAATAACAATAATTGGTGTTGTTGTCTCGTCCATATATTTCCTGGAAGAATAGTTTCCAGAACCTCAAGGAGTTTGTGCTTCTACTTCCAACCCAGTTTTGAGGGATAGCAATCCGGGGGGTTATTCAAAGGTCTCCCACCCCATCTACAACCCCTGGGAAACACTCGGATCAACCCCCCTTCCTTATCACCAAACCGCACGAGAGGTCTTTCGGCTCGCCATACATTTAGAGTGCCCCCATGCCGCTGGGATTTAAACTCTTCCTGAAGATTCGCGAAATCTGAGAATTCAAATGTCCTAACATGAGATAAAACAGAATTCGACTTATCCAGTTTGCATCTAATGAATCAATTCAAATATTTAAATTTGATCTCATTATGTTGGTTCTTATGCTAACATTGTGGGAAAACATTGTGTATGAGATAAAAGTAAAGAAAAGTTACTCAGTTTGTTTTTAAAATTAGTGATTTATTCTTCGCTGAAATGAAAAATATTTTTCATTATTGCATTCATTAAGAACAATAAATATTCTTTCGATTTCAGTTTACTTCTACCTAAACCAGACAACAATTATGAATGAAGAGAAATAAACGAAACCAAAAGAAAATGCTTGGTTTTCCTGCGGAACGCTCAATTGCATTGTATAATAATTTCAAGTTTATATTTTGTTGGGGCTAACATTTTTAAACCCAGAACAGAAGAAATAAAATTTATTTATTTATATTTATATGCAATCAAAGCATTTAAAAAATGCAAAATTCTCATTAATTTACTTAAAGCTTTTTTATATTCAAAAACCTGACTATTTTTGAAGCGATAGAAGTATGGATTTTCAGCTCAAGATAACTTCAGTTGCGAGACTCGAAGTTTCACGAATTCTATTATGCAGCTCCCATCTCCAAGGTCAGTCTCTAATTTTCTGAGCGTATATACGATATAGTGTATCAGAGATGATGTCTTGGTCATCTTTGGTATACTAAATCGTATATATACTCAGAAAATTAGAGAGTAGATGAAAATTCTGGAGCTAAAATTTTATCCTTAAAAACATGCCGAAGAACATGAATTTTTGTTTCGTCAATTGGAAATTGGTTTTCCAAAAACAAATCTTCCATCGCATGAAACAAAATATCCAAAAGAGAGCTTAAAGGAATATTGGCTTCATCCTACGAACTTACCCAGTTATCTTTGAAATAAAATACAAGCCAAAATACGAGAAAATACGCTACTTTTCTTTAAAAAAAATCGGCATGAACATATTAGCTGCTGTTTTTTTCATTTCTGCAATAAAGAAAACGCGTTTTAGGATACTATGAAGAAGAAATTCAGCATATCTGATTTTTATTTTAATGATTTTAGATTCAAGATAGATATTTCTAATAAAATCATTTATGATCCTTATGAAGACCCTTAATCTTGTTAGGTTTCAGACCCTGATCCTAGTTTCTATACTGTTTCTCATCATATATGTTATTACTTCTTACTTATTACATACTACGCGATTAGGCACTACACAAAAGGGAAGGGATGCCCCATGGAGGTCTTTTTAGAGGAAACTGGCATGTATCCATGTTACCCATACAGTAAAACCATAAAAACGTCCATGCAGCCAACCCGTTCCCCGGAACTCGAGCCCTGGATCGAACTACCAGTGTTCGGCGACTTTACCGCTCGGAGGGGTACTTACGGAAAATCCCGTCGATCATTTTTGCCTATTAATGAAAAGACGCCAAACTACACAATTTTTCGCCCAAAATGGAAAAGTCTTCTTCAAACACGCGGTTTGGTGTAACCTTGGTTACACGTGTTAGTTATTATTTTTGAATAAGGACTCATTTTCCCCCCTCTATCACTCATTTTCGAAAAAAAAATGATTAAAATTTGGGACCTGCCTACTACAGAACATGCTGTTCAATATTTCCAAAGTTATGGAATCTTAAACAAATGATAATACTATAAATTTGAAAGAAGAATAAGAAAAGAATTTTTTTTTTTTTTTTTTTTTTTTTTTTTTTTTTTTTTGCTTGGCGCGATTGGCGCCGTCTCTTGTGGTCGATGGGAATTTCCGTAAGTACCCTTGGCGGCTGGCTGGCTGTCATCATATTTAAGAAACGCTTTCCTGATGGCCACCTTCCTAACATGACTACTTCTGATAATAGTAAGCATATATATAAACAAAATTTAAATTCTTAACAAATACGTATAAAAGTAAAAAAAGCAAATTAAATTCTAAAAAAAAGGAAAAAAGCCAAAATAATTAAATAATTTTAAAAAAAAATGTGCAACATGTAAAAGATTTATTCTCGAACTAATCTACAATATCATTTAAATTCAGAAGCATAAGTAAATCAAGTGCAAAATCTATCCATGAAATAATCTACTAATTTAATAAATTAAATTAAATTAAACAATTTTTTAAAAAAAATGCATATGTGAATGACCGTAGATAGGCAGGAGATAGACTTATCAAGGGGAAGTTGCCTCCAAACCTAACTCTCCAACCAATTTGATTTGCTATGCTCTGAATTTAAATGATATTGTAGATTAGTTCGAGAATTAAATCTTTACTGTTTGCACATTTTTTTTAAAAATTATTTAAATATTTTGGCTTTTTCCTTTTTTTAGAATTTAAATTTGCTTTTACTTTATACGTATTGTAAGAATTTAAATTGTTAAATTTAAATTTCATTCCTTGCAGCAATGGCGCAAAGAATATTTAATTAATATGTATTAAATTTAATTTTAATTAAATTCAATTTTCTTAGAAACAATTATATAATTTTTATTGATTTTCACTTTTGTAACGCGAGCACTTTTACAGAAGATCAAAATCGTCTGGAACCGTGTGTGGTCATCTTAAAGAAAATTCACTGCATCAAGGCTTTGCGTAACCTGGAATTTCTCAAGAACCTAAGCACTATTTTATATTACAGTTATTTATATTTAAATTTACTTTTCATTGATTATTTGATAAGAAAAAATTCAGAAATAATTTCTTGTAACTGAACATTTAATTTCGCGGTTCAGGAGATAAGCTAAAATTTAAGGAAGCATGAATTTTTTTCTTGTGTGAACAGCCCGACATGACAGATCCACTCAAATTTTCTTCTTTGCTCTTTTTACATCAGTTTGTTGCTAAAGAAACGGTGAAAATATGGCTATGATTCTCTAATATGAAAACAGCGCTCTCCTATTTATACTGGAACTTTTAGCGCTTTATTTCATCTCAATAATCGTGAAATAGTTCCTATCATCCATACAGAGGTTATATTTCAGTCCTGTTTGCGCATAAATTGAGAATGAAATACTTTCCGAAACCGTACATCGTTTGTGGAATCTGGCAATGTTAAGCGATGATGTCACGCGTCTATGAGCGGGACGCTTTCGAGAGTAAACTGCTGAATTTGAGAGTCTAGTGTCTATCTGCCTAGTTAGCATTCCGCTCGTTTCAACCGAAGATTGCTCAAACAGGTAGGCTTTTCTACAAGCTCACTGAGCTTTACTTGAATATATACTTAATATACACTCATTGAGCTTTACTTTACTTGAATATATTTTGTTTTAATGTGTAGTGAATGCTTAGGACAAATATTTTTAAGCAATTCTTGTATTTAAAATACAAATTTTAGGATAGGATACATCCTGTTAAATGATATTCTTCAAAATATTTTTGATACGGCGATAAATTGGTTGTATGAGCATTTATAGACTTAATTTTCAAATTAGTGTTTAAAAGTTTTCAAATATCAAAATAGTCAGCATCATTACAGTGCATTAGTTTCCTAAGTCGTTTAACTGTACAATTCCGTTTAAACGGGAGAAAATTAACCGGTTTCTTTACCGGGATCTTGTTGAAACAAGTTATGGCAAAACGATGGAAGCATTACTATTAGAATTCATCGGTGTAAAACGGAATTTCTACTGGAAATATAAAATGTGCGTGGGATAACAGCAACGATAACAGAGTTTCGGGTTCATAACTTAATTGCGCATAATCCAGAAGTTATAAATTAAGTCAATCATTAAAATTGTTTCATCTGAAAAATGCATCAAGCGCACATCTTCTGTTTTATTAATCTTTATGTATTTATATAACTTAATTTCTAATTAGTTATAACTTAATTTCATACTTTATTCTAATTAAAATTTCTTATCAGATATATTCTAATAACTTAATTTTTTGTTAATTGTATTCTAATAACTAAATTTCTTTTTAACTGCATTCTTCTGAATTTTTTCCTTTCTTATTTTTTATTCTTTCGTTATTTGCAGTGTTTTTTTTTATTTTGGTTATTGATTTAATTTTCGCAATGAAGAAAATTTTTTCTTTCCCGGCTTAAAATGTTTGAAAATACAGGTAAATTGCGTATTATATTAGTGTATTATTGTGTATATTGTGTGTTATATTCATCGTACTGAGTTATATCCTATTTTCCTACCTTTTTGGTGCTTACGCATTTTTTTGTCAATCATTTTCGGACACAAAAATTTCCACTGGACCCTGCGACTTAGTGCCAATAATGAAGAAACGTGACATCGCAACACACTGATAAGATCTTTGTTTAGATTTATGCAACTTCGATTCTCAGTAAGGCAGTTAAATTTTGTAAACGCTAATGGTATTTACGTACTGTCCCATCGACCATAGAAGTTGGCTACCGCCAAGATAGCGCTAATTGTTCCTGTGGAAATTTTGAAGAAAATTGCGCCTTGTCGATTTCCATTTTGCTGGGCCCTTACATTTTACCGAAAGCTCTGTTTAGAATCCTGTAAGTGCAAATAATAGTTCCAATTAATTACTGTTTTGTCGGTCGTATGCAACTGACTATATCGCGTCCATTAACATACGCTATTTTTATGGTAGTATCTCATAACTTTATAATTATCCACTACTTGCTATTCTGTGGATGGCAGATCCCAAATTTTAATCATTTTGTTTCGAAAAGGAAGATAAAAATAAAGTGATAACATTTAATTTATAGTCTGCCGATAAAAATAAAAGATGGCTCATCAGTCTCAATCGAGTTAAATCAAGAGAAAGCGCCGATTTTATGAGTATTTTGTTATGTCACGCTTATCCATAACTAGCGCTAAATCGTGCTCCTTTTAAGCAGATAGGCATCGAATGCATTTTCGAAATCGGCTAAATCTAACTTTAAGACCGAATTTTAGAGAGTAGACTGGTGTTTTTTCTTTCAAATAAATTCAAGACTTATTATTTCCTAGTTTAAAAAACACTTTTATTTGTGAGGGCCTCCATTACTGGCCGAGTAAAATTTCCTGAATTCGTATAAGATTGGAAGTTCAACCTAGGTTCGATCTTAAGTTTTGGCGGGCTTTGTTTGTTGGGTTACAGTGCTCGTTGTGACTGCTGCTGCCATGCTGTCTGAGATTGAGAAAGATGTTGACTGTCTGAAAAATGTCCTTTCATCAGATTAGGCCACATTTTATTTGAATGGTTGTGTCAACCTCCACAGTGCTGGAATCTGAGGGGGGGAGGTGAGAACTCCTACGCTGTGTTTGAGACCACCAGAGACAGCCCTGAGCTGAAGGTGGTGTGCGGTCTTATGCACAATAAAATCATTGGCTTTTTTTTTTTTTTTTTAGTGGAAAGATTATTACAGCCAATACCTAGTTTGATATGTTGAGGTTATTTGTTCTGCCATAGATTCAATACATTCCGGACTTAATTTTCCTCCAAGTTGGTGAGCTACCTCATTGGGTTGTTATATGTCTATGTGTATTTGGTTACAACAATTTCTGGGATGATGGATCGGGGTGATGGTCCCATAAACTGGTCTCCGCGAGCATCGGACATAACACCACTGAACTTCTACTACTTCTAGCGTTATATAAAGGACCACTTTTATCAGACATAGTGAAGCAAGTAGTGAACAACATCGCTGCATTACGGTGCAGAATTACTCAAGTCATAACATCCACCTCGCATGCAATTCCAGGCCTCACCAACACATGGATAGAATTGCCCATCCCTCACAAACACATCGACGGAACTGGAATATCACCTGGATATTTCTCGAGTAACGAAAGGATAATGGGTTTGTTCATTAGCTTACTTGTTATTCAGTATTGACATGTGCAGTATAATTTGACAACCCGCTATATTTAGCAACTCATTTATTAATGAATCAACAATTTGCCCTTGAACAATCTCGCATGTAATTTAATTCTCAACTGTATTTTATATTTATACTTTTAAATTTTAGCATATTAATTTAAAGTCGGAATAAAGGAAATGTTCTGTCGGTTGTTTATTAACGCATGTGAAATTGAAGCACTAAATTTAAAAATGCATATACATTTGCATTTGTTGGATGAAGGATTTAATTTTTGTTCTAATAGTTATGTTTTGCTGAATTTGTTGAACCTTCTTTGGATTTAGTTTTGACTATACATTCCGAAACTAAAGTTTAACATTAAACTAAAGCAAATATTGGCCTTGATTTTAGTTTCCTTTTGTTTACGGAAACAAAATAAGAATAGATTAAATTACAGCAGAATGTTTTCAAAAATTTGAATAAAGAAACAATCTTGGATCATGTACTGTAAAAATGCACAATGAAGTTTATTTGGGTATATCTGTTACATTCACAGAATAAATTTAAGCTTTTCTTAACTCGGTGTAATTATTAATTCTAACTAAATTAAGTTTAAATTTTAACATTCTTTTCTTAATTTTATAATATGAAAGTAAATCGATATTCTGTTATTTGAGGTCACGTGTTTAAATTAAAAATTGAAATTATTTAACTATGTCCATTTTTTAAATATTTAATTTAAATAAACTACCTAAAATCATAAATACATAGAAGTTTAATATTTAAATTCTAATTTGAGTTGAAATGGTAAGGAAATGCATCCATAAACGTAATATTAGCGATTTTTCATTTAAAATTTTAAGAAAATTATTTAAATTTCATCCTAAAGATTTAACATTTGAAACTTAATCATGACTTTAAATGAACTCTCATTCTGCTAGCCTAGATCCCAAATTTTTTGTTTTGCTTAAGATAATATTTATGAGATCTTCCGCATTGTCTTTAATATATGCTTAAGAAAAGTTTTACGAGTTTCTAAAAACGCTTTTAGTATTCCCTCTGGGTCTTACCGATAAGGCAAGTTTGCTCAACAGAAGCAAATTCTTCGAAATTCCTTAGAGAAATCTTTCCCAGGACAAAAGTATTCAAGCTGCGGTTGCTTTGGTGTTAAAAGTTCGGTAGAAAATATCAGTTTGAATTATTGTGATCACATTTTCCAAAAGCTACAGAAATCGTTTTCTTGCCACGTATCATTTAACAGAAAATTCTGTGGTAAGCTTTTTATTCTGCTAGTGAATATGATATAGTGTTTGTACTGCTTCCACCAATTCAAGAAGTTCGCTAGTGACTAACTGTGTAAGTGAACAAACTGCTTATCATTGGCAGTTCGAACCGCGTTCGACTCGCTGTGAATGGGCTGCATAGATGTTTTCATAGGTTTCACCTGCCCAATGTGAATATAAACAGTTTTCCCTCAAAATGCCCTCTATGAAGGCATCAGCCTTAAGCAGATAGTCTTTGTTTGTTTTCTCATAAACTCACCAACTAAATTTTCAGAATAGAGTATATGACAATAATCTCATCCTTATTGGCACACACTTTCTTAACACAAGACGGCTAAAGGTTAGTCGATCCATTATTTTTAATTAATAAGTTTCAGAGTACACCATGTTTGTTTATATAAATTTACGTATTGAAAAAGGGAGCGAAAAAGAATCAAATTTACTCTTAATTAAAAAAATGCTCGTTATCTAATGACTTCTGGAATGCTATAAAAGTTTTCCTAATTTCAACACTTATTATAATTCAATAACAAAATTTTCCGGTTTCTAAAAGCTCTTTCGTGTTTTTGGATAACACTTCGTTAGCTGTAACTAATACTTAGTTCGTTTTATTCTGAGCGAATTGCTCTCCAAAACATGCGTTCAGAATGTTGTCTTCATTGTTCGTTTGTCTGGTACGTACAATAAAAGGAACATATATTTTGTTGTAATGAGAAAAATATAAAACTTTATATTTATATTTTCTGTTCCTCACACACATCTATATTTTCTGCATTATGAGCTTCAATAAAATACTTCCTTTTCCTTTACATCGGGTTGCTCTATGCTCCGCATTTATAGAGTTTTAATCCGCTCCAAACTTGTCTATGGCTGTGTTATCTATGGATCAGCAAGACTTTCTGTGCTACTGAAATTGGATCCAGTTCACCATCAAGCGCTACGTATTTGCTGTGGGGCTTTCAGAACATCTCCATTCCAAAGTTTATATGTCATCTGTTTTGAACCATCTCTGGAATTCAGATGCAAGCAGTTGTCCATTGATCTTCATTATAAAATAATGTCACAAGCCGGACATCCTGTCCGACTCATGACATCTGATCACTACTGGCGTATCTACCAAGCACGTCCT